GTGCGTGCGTGCGGGCGTGCGTGCGTGCGTGCGTGCGTGCGTGCGTGCGTGCGTGCGTGCGTGCGTGCGTGCGTGCGTGCGTGCGTGCGTGCGTGCGTGCGTGCGTGCGTGCGTGCGTGCGTGCGTGCGTGCGTGCGTGCGTGCGTGCGTGCGTGCGTGCGTGCGTGCGTGCGTGCGTGCGTGCGTGCGTGCGTGCGTGCGTGCGTGCGTGCGTGCGTGCGTGCGTGCGTGCGTGCGTGCGTGCGTGCGTGCGTGCGTGCGTGCGTGCGTGCGTGCGTGCGTGCGTGCGTGCGTGCGTGCGTGCGTGCGTGCGTGCGTGCGTGCGTGCGTGCGTGCGTGCGTGCGTGCGTGCGTGCGTGCGTGCGTGCGTGCGTGCGTGCGTGCGTGCGTGCGTGCGTGCGTGCGTGCGTGCGTGCGTGCGTGTGTGTGTGTGTGTGTGTGTGTGTGTGTGTGTGCGTGCGTGCGTGCGTGCGTGCGTGTGTGTGTGTGTGTGTCCTCAGGGGCGGAAGGCCAGGCGGCAGCGCCCCCTTGCATTCTGCCGCCCGTCCTCGCCTCGCCGCCTGCGGCCACGACTCGCAACGCCACTGCTCGCAAACGGCCCGGATCAGCCGCGGCCCGGATCAGCCGCGGAGGCGAGCGTGTTTTTCCCTACCTAAGCTCTGCCTAGAAGGGTTCTTATTCTGTTGGCTTAAAGGGGCCGGGCAGTGGAACGCGCCCCCCGGGTGGTTCCCCCAGTCCCCTGGGAGCCAAGCACAAGCAACAGCAAAGGTAAAAGCAAACGAGCGGTTCCCCCAGTTGCGCTCCCTGGGTGCCAAGCAAAAGCAAAGGCAAAAGTGAAGGCAAAAGCGAAGGCAAAGCAAAAGCATAGCATAGCATAGCATAGCATAGCATAGCATAGCGCAGCATAGCATCGCGCAGCATAGCATAGCGCAGCATAGCATAGCATAGCATAGCATAGCCTAGCCTAGCATGTTGCTTTCCTAGAGGCTCCAACTCCTAGGTAGGGTCGCACTGGGATATTTTTTTTTTGGGGTGGGGGGACGTTTGCGAGTAGGCACTTTGCGAGTAGTGGAACGCGCTCGGTGAGCATACCTTGTTCCTGTCGCGTCCGCGCTGTGCCCCCTCGTGGGACGTCCCCTCGGGCGGCGGCCAGTGCGCTCTCCGCCCTCCCCGCCATCCACGCCTGGATGGCCATGCGCTGCCCCCCCTCTGAGCCGGCCCGCGCGCGCACCAGATGCAGGTTTCGGCCGCCGTACTTGAATTTCTTCGCCTCGTCGCTGTGCGCGAGGCCGCGACCGCCAAATATATATATATATATATATATGTATATATATATATATATGTGTGTGTTTGTGTGTGTATGTGTGTGTATGCATGTGCGTGTGAGAGAGAGAGTGTGTATGTATGTGAAAGTGAATCTATGCGTGTGTGTGTGCGTGTATGTGTGTGTGTGTGTCTGTGCGCGAATGTGTGTGTGTGTGTGTGTGTGTGAATGTGTGTGTGTGTGTGTGCGTGTGCGTGTGCGTGTGCGTGTGTATGTGTGCCTGAATGTGTGGGAGGGGGCAAACCAGTTTTGTGACGAGGAGTCTACCTTGGCGGTGGCCGCAGCCGGCGGTGCCGCGACCAGGCCCGCGAAGGGGTTGCCGGCGGCAGGCGTGGCCGCGTCGCCCTGAGAGAGCGTCGCCGCGGGCACCGCCCCCGAGCTCTCCTGCCCGATTTCTCGTTGCGTCCCCCAAACATGGACAAGAAACTACTCCCCAACTTCTCGGGCTCCTTCATCTGCTCCGCTCCCCTTCCCTCCACAATTACCAATATCGGTTCTACCCTCCCCTCTCCCCCGACGGCCCCGAGGTCGTAGCCTGCCCTCCTCCGCGTATTGTTTCTTACGCATCGGATCCCCCAGAGGTGGTCGATCAGATGTGTCCAATCCGAACGTTTCACGTTGTTTCCAGAATTGCGTTCCCGCATCATCGTTGGATTTATTTTCTGGCCCTCGGTCCTTCCAATTCACATTCCCGCTGCAGCGCTGACCTCATTTTCTGTTGCGGATAACGCTTCCGCTCATCCCGAACCGTCCATTCGCATGTTTCGTCTTGCGTCATGTCTGGTTTCTCTCAAAACCTGTTGTCTAAATGAGTCGCGTTCTCGACCAGCGCCATGCTTTGCGTTGCAATGAGTCTCTACGCAATGCCACGCCATGCTATGACACGCTACGCTCTGACGTCCTCTTTTGCGCCGTGCTACGCCAGCGCTGCCACTGCTCTTCACGACATCCGACTGCGAGAATAGAGAAGAGATCCACGCCATGGTAAGGGATGGGAGGGAGGGATAGGACGTCAGATAAGACGCTTTCGCACCTAGCTTGCCAATATCCCGCTTTCCTCCACTTTCTCCTCCGCTTCATCCTCCCCGCCTCTTCTCTCTGACCCCCCCCTCCCCTCGCAGGAGCAGGCCCTTGACCGCGAGGTCCTGGGGTGGCCGATGGCGCCCGCCGCCTTTGGGTTCGAGATCCGCAACCGAGCCCGCTTGCCAACGCACCGGTCAGGCTCCATGATCGACCTCTTTGCCGCCTGCGGCCCCGCCTGGGTCTCAGGGCGTCGTGCGCGACCACGCGTGCCTCGTCGCCTGCCTCCCGCGCGCGCGGCGGCGGCGCCCACGGCGTCGCGCCGCGGCGCGTGCCCCCGGCCTGGTGGAGGCGGGGGGCGGACGGGGACGCAGCTCTGTCCGCGCCCCCGAAGTCCGTGGAACTCGCCGCGTGCTGGGCGGGCTCGCCGCGGCGCACAGCCGAGTCCCGCGCGGCGGGCTGGCCGCTGGCACTATGGGCGGACAGCCCGGCAGCTCATCCTCGACCTCGCAGTCTGGTGGCGCGCGGTCCTGTGCAGTCAACCAGTATAGTGAGGATGCGCGACAAGGATGCAAGAGCCTTGGACGCCCATTTCGAAGCTTTTCGAGCGGGGCGCGGCCAACGAAAGTGGCGAAGGATGGACCGAGGAGGCAAGGATGCAAGGGTACTCTTTTGAGACGGTTGTCCATCCTTACTATGCGGGTTGACTCTGCAGCGTCTGTGGCTACCTGGGGGATCTCGCTGTCCGCGCTGCCCGTCCAGCTCAGCAGCCGAAGCCGGTGGCCGCGCTCTTGCGCGTGCCGCGGGCACGTGGAGCCCGTGGCGGCCGCGCTCGAGGAAGCGGCGCAGGAGGTGGTGGCGGAGTCCAGCGCCCTCGCAGCAGGGCGCGACCGGAGCCTCGACATGTACCTCCGACTCGCGGCGGAATCGCTGGGGCCGGGCGACGCTTGCTTGAGCCGCCTGCTGCGTCCCCGCACGCCGCTACAGCTCGCGCTCCCCGACCCTGGCACTGGGCCGCCTGGGGCGCGCCGTGACCCTGGACGCGCTCCTTGAGGATGTGCAGTGCCGCAGCCTCGCGTCAGGGCCGCCGTCGACATGCGTGCGCCGAGTGGTGATCCGCGCAGGGGCTCTCCAGGAGACCGCCGCGGAGACGGGGGGGGGGCTTGCTCGGTGGACGAAGCGGGGGCCGCAGCGCGGGCGCTGCGACCGAACCGCCGGACCATCCACCTTCCCCGTGGGGGCCGTCGGGGCCAAGGACCGTGGGGGGCGGCTGTTCGCGTGGGCCCTCCCGAACCTCGCCATGAGCCGTGGCCTCAGAGCGGGACTGTGCGAGCGAGAGGTCGCGCCCGTGCTGGAGCAGGGCCCCACTGTCGTCGCCCCGCTCGCGCTCGCGCGGCCGACATCTCTTACGCGGACGACTTGGAAGGCAACTTCGACGCAGCGTGGCTGTCCTCGGTACGCCGAGCCGCCGGAGGTCGCGGGCGAGGCCCACCGGGGGGGGGAGGGCGGTGCGAGCAAATGCTGATGGCGGTCGGCCTCCTCGTGGTGATGCAGCTTCGCGTGGCCGCCAGGCTAATCACCCTCCGCGCTCGGCTTGGGGCCTTGACTGCAGCGTGGGTCAGGAGGCGCGCGGGCACGCAGGTCTTCGGGGCCCTGGTGCGGGGCCTCTTGGATGCCTGCGCAGCGGCCGCTCGACCCGTTCGCCTCGGCGTGAAGGTTGAGGCCGCCGCGGCGTTCTCTTTCCTGCAGCTCCAATCCGTCGACGTCGCCCAGGTGGACGAGCAAGGCATGGCCGCGGCGTGCGGCAACATGGGCAGGCTCTGCGAACGGTGCCGCCACTGGCTCCAGGGGGGACGGGCATAGTGGCCCGCGGTCATGCCTGTCGGCGGGATCCCCATCGACGACTCGCTGTCCCTCCGGCCCATCCTCAACAGGGCGTGCCCCATGCTGCGCGACGGGGCCAGGAAGCTGATCGCCGCCTTGGCTGACCTCGGATCCGGCGCGCCCACGCAGGTGGCCCAGCTGCCCGTGCGCGTGGAGCCGGCGGCCCTGTTCGTGACCGAACTGCTCGCCAACTGCTCAACTGGGCGCTCTGGCGTCCTATCCCGCCCCAGCCGTGTATGCTACGATTTGGCGAAGCTCTTGTTGGCGGGGAAGGGAGTGCGCGCCCCGACATCCGACGTCGTGCTGTTCTTGTCCCCCCTCTCGGGCTTTGCCCTTCTGCTCTGGAAGGGCCGGTGGGTGCTATAGACGTGCGGCTCCCCGGCCCGACAGAGGTCCTCGTGCTTCCCCGGATCCTCCCCTGCCATCCTGCTCCTCTTCTCGCCGGCGCCCTCCCCCAATCAAGAACCGCCGCGGAGTCTGCCACGGCAGGGTCCGCTCGGGCCACGGAGACTGCTCTCGTCCTGCTCCTCCTCCGTCCTGCTCCTCCTTCCCCTCCTCCACCCTCTCCCTCCTCTCCTCCCGCATTCTTCCTCCCTCTTCCCTTCCTCTCCTCTCTTCCCCCTGCTCAGGATGTCCTGCTCCCTCCTCGCCCACCCCTCCTCTCTCCCTCCCCACCCCCTCCCTTCCGGCTCCGCCCCCCCTCCTTGCCCTTCCAGGCATCCGCACCCGCCCGGGTGGCGTGAGCCCGCGCCAGAAGGCCCCCCTGCCTCGGCTCCTCGGACGTCCCTTTCCAGTGCATTTTCCGGTCCCGCGCGTGTTTTCTTCTGCTCGATGGTCCAGGAGGGTCCTCGAGGGCCCTCGCCGAGAAAAAAATACACACGTCCGAGCGATGCCCGCCTCCCGCGTGCCGGCCCCGCCCTGGCTCTGGGAGGGGCGCCCCCCGCCCTCCGCGGGCCCGCGCGGCGCGCCCGACGCGCGCGCCGCGGGCGCGCGCGCGGTGCAGCGCCTCCTCGAGGCCTGGGGCGCTCGGCAGCCCCGCGGCTGCCGGGCCGCGCGCTCGGGGGCCGAGAGGGAAGTCAGCGCCCCTCAAACGGGGACTCCACTAACGGGTACTTTGGCCAGTGACCCAGCGAACCCAACCCTTCCCGATGTGGGCAAAGCTGCAATGCAAGAAAAAGGCCCTAAAGTGGCAACTTTCGGCAAAAATTCAAAGTACCCGTTAGTAGGTACCCGTTGCGGTGCCGTTGAGGAAGGCCGCGCTCCGCACGGACGCCGGAGCTGCTGCGGCCACTCCTCGCGGGGCTGCGGCTCGCGCTCGTGCAGGCGCCGCCGCAGCCGTGGGGGACGTCCCCGCGCGCCCTTAACGTCTCCTTCCGGGACCTTCGTGCCAGGCCTGGTGATGTCGTGCCTGGCGCCGACGGACGCTCCGACCTCTGCGCCGCCCTCTGGCGCCGACGCGTCGACAGCAGCAGCGGGCCAGGCCACGATCAAGGGCAGAGAGGAGGAGGACGGAGGACGGCTGGACAGACGTCGCGCGGGACGTGGTCGACAGCACCGCGCTGCAGTCTCCAGGATTGGGGCGTGCCTGCGGGAGGCGCCACACGGAGGAGGAGGAGGAGGAGGAGGAGGAGGAGGAGGAGGAGGAGCAGGAGGAGGAGGAGGAGGAGGAATGCGGCAGCCTGAAGAAGCTGAGGGGCCGACGGCGATGGACGCCACCGCTCGCCGAGCTGCCGCCACGAAGCCCGGGGGGGCAGTGGGCCCAGAGGCCGAGGCCCTGGCGCAGGCGGAGGCAAGGAGCGGCCAGCGAGGCGGAGCGGAGACGAATCGCGGCCAGCTTCGCCGTTTCGCTCTTAGGGAAGCTCTACGAGTCAAACATCATATAGTTGTTTGTTCGATAGTTCTGGCCCGAACTCGAACTGAGAGTTCGAGTTCGGGCTCGAACTCAGCACCGAACAACTATCGTGTATGCTTGTTCGATCAATAGTTCGGGCCCGAACTCGAACTAAGACTGGGAGCCGGCACCCAGATAGAACGGAACTGCAGGGCTCGACCGCTTTCTGGCTGGGCTCCAGGCTGGCCCTGGCAGAGGCCCCATGTGGCAAGCAAGGCAGACGTGCTCGCTCCTGAGTTTTCTTTCTGTTTTCGTGAGCCAGTCTGAACATTCCAAGGTCCGTTGCTATGTATCAGTTGCTGGGGTTTGTGACACTCTCAGGTGTTGTTGATGCTCTGTGCTACTTCCAGTGGAAGACTTGTTCGGCAGATTCTGATGGAAAGGCCCCTTTGCGTACCCAATAGGTTGTTCCCTGTTGATTCGAATGGAGCGATGAGTCCCTGCGACGACTCAAAACGATGTTCTTACGATGTTCCTTCCTGGGCCTTCTCACATGTCCAATGGGCCCTTGTACGGCAATTTCTCGGTTTCGTCACAACGCCTTACTCGTTTATATCGTTCGCACATGTCTGGCTTTCGCCAAACCGACCCCCTGCTT